GCCCAAGGCCATTCAAGCTGCAGAATGCCTTGGCGATTATCACTTGGGAACTCAGAACGACAGACCCCAGCCGCCTGTCGAGGGGGATTCAACGGGAACCATCCCAGCAATGGTGGCCCAAGTAAAAGTGGGGGAGATTGGAGTGCATCCAAAACCAAGACTCCTCCCTCCAGCAACAACGGTGCTGCATCCATCAACAACAATCAGGGGAGAAAGCCTCCCTCAGAATGCCGTCATTGCGGTGGGGCACATTGGAACAATGAATGCCCAAACATAAAGATCAATGCTCATCAAACTGTTGAGGATGAGTCAGATGAATCAGACACATCAGAAGAAGAGCGGGTAGGTGCCTTCAATGCAATTGTTGGCTCTAGGGGTGTTCACGGTTCGGTTTGGTCGGTTTTTGATTAAAACCAAAACCAAACCAATTTAATTGGTTTTTAAAATTTTAAAACCAAAACCAAACCAAATTAAATATAAACCATCGGTTTGATTGTTGTTGATTTGGTTCGGTTTGGTTCGATTTTTCGGTTCTTAGTAAGCTAATGATAAGTCGATAATAGTAAAACAACGCTAGACAACAATCTGAAAATAATTTGCTAAATTTATGCTTTTTTATATATTTCTTTCAGAACTGAAAGTTTATTTACATGTTTATATGAAAAGAATGAACAAAAAACAAACTAAAAGTTTGCTTTCTCAAGCTTTAGTCATTGTTGTCTTGCAATTTGAATTTGCTTTCTTTACTCTTGTGGTGTTTTTTTTTTAACTATTCTGTTAGGCAAAAGTATGTGCGGAGGGTTAGAGAATTAGAGTCTCTTAATGAAAAGAAAATTGGTCGAGTCCTATTGTTTTGGGCTTAGGCAATCTTTTAAGATATAAAAGGATAAACCAAAATTCAAAATAACAATTAAAATGCATAAAATATTTAAAATTATTTACAAAAAGATATTATATTGTATATAAATAATTATTAAATTTTGTATATAATTAGTTGGTTTGGTTCGGTTTTTTAAAATAGAACCAAAACCAAACCAAATATTATCAGTTTTTAAAATTTAAAACCAAAATCAATCCAAATCAAGAAAAATATCGGTTTACTTAATCGGTTTGGTTCGATTTTCGGTTTGGATCGATTTTCCGTCAAACCGTGAACACCCATAGTTGGCGCAATCCCACATGCCTTAGCGGGGACCAGTGCATGTCCTCCTAAGAAAATCTCAGTCCCAATCACCAAGAAAGGGAAGGAAAAGATGGACGAGAGGCCTCCTAAACAAGCGATGACCCTAATGTTCGTCGAATTGAAAGTGAATGGCAAGCCCCTTCACGCATTGATAGACACGGGTGCTACCCACAACTACTTGTCTTCAACTCAGGTAGAGCGCTTGAGTCTAGTTGTGCAAAAGAGCAAAAGCCGCGTCAAGGCTATCAACTCGCCACCCTAGACATTGGGTGGAACAACTACAAATGTCCTAGTAAAACTTGGCCCATATAAAGGAAGCATCAACCTGCGCATTGCAATCATAGATGACTTCGACATCATAGTGGGTTTGGAGTTCATGAGGCAAACCAACACCATACCGGTACCATATGCCAACATGCTCCTGATGTTGGGAGAAAACGGGGCCAAGCCCTGCACCATACCATGCATTCCCATAAAGATGGCCGCTGGAAACATCTCGGCCATGCAGTTGGAGAAGGTAGTCAACAAACATGAACCCCTGGTTCTGGCTACCCTTCGCAGCAACAATCAGCCATCATGTCATCGGCCTCAAAAGATTGGTGACGCTCCTCAGCGTGTGAAGACTTGTCAGCCATGCCACAAGGACAAGTCGGATCACTCATCACGGGATTGCCCCAAGTCGGTAATCTTGCATCCATCTTGGTTGTCATAGATCAGTTTTCAAACTATGCAACTTTCATAGCAGCCCCACAAAACATCTCAACAGAAGATACAGCTCGACTCTTCTTCTCGCACATTGTCAAACGTTGGGGCCTGCCCAAAGACATTGTTAGTAGACCCGACTCACGCTTCACTAGCAACTTTTGGACCCATCTCTTCAGGTGCTTTGGGTCAACATTGAGTCACAACTCAAACATCCATCCGCCATTGGATGGCAAGACACACCGGTTCGATGACATGCTGGAGGAATATCTCCGCAACTTTGCAACCGGATCACAGAAGCATTGGGTGAAGCTCTTAGATGCTGTTCAACTGTGTTTCAATTCTCAAAAGAGCCATCATACAAACAAAAGCCCTTTTGAAATTGTTACCGGACAACAACCACTTCTCCCGCACACGGTGAATGCATCGGCCATGCCGAAATCTCCTCGAGCTGCCAAGTTCTCGAGCGAATGGGAGCGCAACATGGGGATAGTGCGGAGCTATCTCGTCAAAGCCCAAGAGCGGGCAAAAAGGTTCACCGAACAAAATCTTTGCTTTGCCCAACATCAAGCAGGGGACAAAGTAATGCTATGCATCCCAAAGCGATACTTGTTTGCAGAGAGGACCCATGACCCTCGCCTGCAACAAAAATACATCGGGCCCCTGCCCATTGAAAAACGCATTGGGAAGTCCACATACCAGGTCAAAACTCCATCCTGGTGGAAGATCCATCCAGTCTTCCATGTCAGCCGCATGAAATCATTGCGTCGCTACAACAGCAAGCTCACAGAACAGAGGGGCGCAGACCTCCCATCCAACAACCACCAGAAACATCATCATCATCATCATCATCATCATAAGGCTCCGAGGACGGCGCCAACTCAGGTGGGGGAGAATGTCATGGGCTGCTTTCCAGACATGCCCCATGACCCCTTGGCCGCGCCCCATGGCGGCCTAGCAAGCCTCACAATGCCTAGCGCCATAGTCGGCCTCGTGGTCTTGGCTGCGCCAAGTGACAAGCGCGCATGCGCCTCTGTCGCCCCACCGATTCCTCTCGCCAGCGCCCAGCGGCTGGCCAATGAAAACAGCGCCGCGCGCACTGACAATGCCGCGCGTGCAGATCCTGATGCCTCGCCAGCGCCCAACTGCAGGCCCATTCCAGCAGCACCTCGCACACAGACCCTGATGCCAAGCACCAGCGCCCAGCCTCAGGCAAATACAACAAGTGTCGCGCGCGCCAACAGCACCGCGCGCGCAGACCCTGACCCGCAAGACAAAGTTGCTGCCATCGGACTTGTTTCTACATTGTAATAAACTAAGTCCTTTTCATTGTAATTATAGGCTAGTTTACATCATTTTCATTCAGTGTGCTTCTACAACTTTATTAGGACAAGTCATGTAACTTTGGTTTATTTTTTTTTAAGCATTATTAGGGGGATCAAGCAATCAAACGTTTTCAAGCAATCAATTTTCTGTACTGGTGTCTCTCCCCCTCGACACCGCATCTTTTGTCATCAACTTTCATTCATCAATAAAATCATCATCATCATTCAAAACTCAATTCTCTCTCAGCTTTTGCAATTGCTCGTGACATTGGTTTTCCCGCACAGCACTGACAATCTAGTCTAGCGTGCGGAGGAGACCTCATTGGCGGACAGCAACCGCACTGACATCGGTTGCTTAGCCTTACGTTGCCCTTCCAAAGAACATCAGGAAGGCGCCGCGTAACAGTTCACATGTTTGTGTTTTCTATAGCTACCCTTTCTTAAATTTGTCCTACTGTGGAACTTCCACAAGGGAAGATACTCTTGATTGGGTTGTCTGGGAACTCTTGTTATGTTTGTTGTAGACAATGTTTTCAGAAATACCTGCTTTCAACATGATCTCATGGGATCATGTTCAGATGCAGCCATCATATATCCTCAACATTTTCTGTTAATTTCTGGAGTTTGCCTATTAGTTGCTATGATTTTTTATTTATTTTGTGAAATGTTTTCTCGAATTAAATAAATAGCAGCACTACTTCTACAGGCATACAGATTACCTTGCAGTTATGAAGTATTAAACTGCTGCTTTCTGCTCAATTGGTTTTCTGCAGGATATTTCAAGTAAGCAAATTATTTTCAATTATATCAAAAAAAGTCAAATGTTCAATCTGCAGCGCACTGGTGGAAGTGAGGAAAATCTTTCCCCTGAGGTGGTAAATGCCACCGAGCCATTAGGGGAAGCTGAAACCAGCTTATCTATGGCTTCCTCGGATAGATTAGAAAATTCTATGGCACGTGGAAGGCAAGGGGATGAGGAGTATATTGTGATGCAGCAGAAAGACTTATTTTCAGTAGCTCATTTACCATCTCAGGTATGGCTTCCACCGTGAGCCATAAGCTAGTAGTTACAATATTCTAGCTTATAGTCCTTGGCATAATTATTATGATGATAATAATACCTTAGTTGTTATATACATTTGGTGCTCTCTTTAGCAATCTTTTTATGTTATAATTGACAGGTCAGGAAAATTATAGAGCATTTATGGGAAAACGAAGCTCGTCTTTGTGCATTCTTCTGTAATATTCAGGGTCAGCACCTTAATACACCTAGCAAGGTGGCTGGGCCCTCTATGTTCTTTTTGGATTCCATTCTTGTACCTCCAATCAGGTTCCGCCCTCCAGCCAAAGGGGGTGATTCAGTAAGCATTTTGAACACCTTTCCAAAATTTCTTAAGTTTGTATTTATGCTTTTTGTAGTCTGGCTACGAATCATGTACTGCAAGAAGTTGTGCTCTTCAAATTTGCTATATCATGAACAGATTCTTGAAAAGGATATTTCACATTAGGTCTTTATCTCACGGTTACTTGAATCTCTCTCCTCTATCTTTATCCCGTACTTAAGCAGCAGTAATGAAATTAATCTTGCAAAATCATTGAATATTTTTCTGTCTTGTCCACTACTTTTGGTTGATACTGTAGATGTTAGCTGTAGCTTTATGTTTCTATTTATGGAGGTATGCTAGCTTTATTTTTCTCTCCTCAACTCGTTCATAAGCTTTCACATATTCACATCTACCCTCTTGTCCCCATGCCTACAGTTTTTTTTGAATTATCCATCTTCTCACATATTCATCTCCCTCTTCCACACCTTAATTCCCCTTTTAGCATTTTGAGCTTCTTTGTCAGCTGAAATGGAGGTCTGCCTGAGACATCATATCCACTTCACCAGTCTGCCATTCCATCCACAACAATTGATTTGTGTTGCTTTTTTCTGATGGCAGCAAAAGATTTTGCTATAAACCTATAAAAAACCTTTACGTTTCTGGCCCTTTTACAGCTCATAGTACACTTTATCTAGGTCCAAAAAGTTGCATTCTCTGCATTGGACTAACTTCCATACGTCTTTGAGGAAATAATTGATCTTTTTTTGAAATGGTGAATTTTCAGTAAATTAGTTTCAGCACTACGATGTATGCTGAGATTAGTTCAGCAGAAACAGAAGAAAAAGAACAGAGTACTTTTCTCATCATCTATACATATCGTTGTTAAGTTTTCCATGTTGGTTGACAGATGAGTTAATTGTCTCACTATATGATCTTAGGCAATCCTCACCTCATGAGTTTGTTTTTGGGATTGAGTTAGGTCCAATTTTCATTTCTTCACATGGCATCGATCTAGCTCTTGGGATTGAGTTAGGCCGAAGGTCCATCTCTTCACAATAGTGATAAAGTTTAATGGACTTTGCCTCTTTTACATAATCCTCCGTTTACAAAAAGCAGAAAAATGCAGTTATACTTGATCTTTGTGATAGAATTGGTTTTTCCTTCCGTCCTTCAATACATCTTGGGTTTCTCTGATTCCATATGCTGCGCTTGATGCAAGCTGGTACTATCCTCCTTAACTTTTCCTGTTCCTTGTCAGTCTTTCCCCATCCAAATTTTCTCGCATTATCCATTGTAATCCAGATGTTCAGAAGAAGAGCCATGGGTTGTTTGTTACTGGGCAAAGCAGAAAGAGATGGTTGACTCTCATCCCTTCAGGAAGCTGTTATCTCAGCTTTCAGGCAATCTAATGACCGGCCCATCACTTTTAGAAGGAATCTTAACGACTGGGAAATTGAAAGCTACATTCAGTTGGTTCAACTTCTTAACAATGATCCCTCTTTTGTCTTCATACCTGACTATGTCAACTGGACTCGACTCCAAGGGAATTTTTTCAGTTAAAGGCTGTTACCTCTCACTTACTGTTCTTTCCCCTCCCAACATCTCTTGGAATTGGAAAACTATCTGGAGAAGCAAGCCCTACAAGGTCAAATGCTTTATCTGGATAGCAGCTAATGGCAAGTGCCTCACTCTCGACAACTGTCAAACGAGAGGCCTACACCTTTGCAATAGATGCATTCTCTGTAAAGAAGATGCGGAGAACATTAACCACTTGTTCTTACATTGCAGTGTCTCTAGCCAACTTTGGAACCTAGTTTTTTCCATCATGGGCTTGAACTGGTGCATGCCTAGCTCTCTTCTGGGTTTTTTGATGGCTTGGCAGAGAGGAGGAAATGCTAAGTCCTCCTTCCCCATGTGGAACACTATTCCTGCAGCTATCTGCCGGGTAATTTGGAAGGAACGGAACGCTAGAATTTTTAAAGACAAGAATGGCAATATACTTAAGCTCGAGCAGAATTGTGTATTCTTGCTTAGTTTTTGGTGTAGCATGGCTATGCCAAATGTGTTAAGAGCCTGAAGCCATGCTTGATTTTATTTTTACATTTACATTCTTTGTAGTATTTTCAGCTTTTGCCTGTATTTCTTTTCCAGCATTTTGCTCGCTCATTTCAATATACGTTACCTTATTAAAGAACACCTATTACATAGTCGAAATCCCCTCCTCTGTAGTTTGTCCTGTGTCAGACAGCTGTTGTGGGCTATAATCCATGAGAAAACAGCAACTTTAGTTGGTGCATTTGACTTCCATATCTGTTTGTAGGCCACTGTTGTTCTAGGGAAGTCCTTCAATCAATGACTCATAACACGACTTAATTGTAAATTAACCTTTGCTGTGTGCTTGACAAAACCTCAGGGGAGCTATGTGAATTTTTCTCCTCCTAATTATATCTCTTATTAACTTACATTTAAGTTTTGATGTTTCTTCAGGTTATGGAACATCCACATACTGTTCTTCTTGGCAAGGTCCTTCAGTCAAATATAGCTTTGGGAAATGCCCATAGCAACCGGGCTGGAAGGTCTAAGATCATTAGCCGCTTGATGGATCTTCAACAATCTGTAAACATCCTGTTTGATAGCAAAACAGCTGCTGGTGAGTTTATTCTTCTCTTTTGTGCTACCAGTGCTACTTTTAGATGGTGTTATAAAAGCCATTGCTTAAAGCAATGAAGCGATGAAAACTGAGGGTCATCGCTTCATGGGCGAAGCCATGCACTTTAGATAAGCATGCACTTCAAAATGACACGCAAAGTAATCCCAACGAGAAACGATTTATTCTTTGAATCTCAACTTTGAGGAATTGGATTAATATCAACATTAGTGTGTATGAGATGTTGAAATTAGTCATTTTAATTGATAATTTGATTAGTGTATTACTAAATTCATACATGTTTGGTACTTTCCGTTTTTATGTAAATTGCGCGCTTCACTTTAAAGAAGCGTGCACCTCAATTCTCGCTTTTTCGCTTCAAGACCCTTGGACCATGTTACTTTTTGAGCTTTTCACTTTTAAAGACACTGCTTTTGAAATTGTTTGACTGGGGTGTTTCCTGGTTAGTTAGTACTCTTTCTAGAACCATCGGAAGGCAGTATTTAGTTTAACTTTGACTTGCCCATCGCTTCTGGATCTGGAAGATTCATGGCTTATACTTGTCATCTGGATCTTTCAGGCTCTTGAACTGGCGACGTTCTAAATTTTGGGAACTTTAGGTTTCCAACCTCAGTTGAAAACTTAGTTGGCATATAATGGATGGGTGTAAACATAAATCTCATGGCCATTCTTCAAATATTAATAAATTTTCAGTAGGTTTTGAAATCCTTAATTGATAATCAATGAGAAAAAATTTGTAATATCAACAAGATCCCTACACGACAAACTTAAGTTGTACTAAGTGCTCTTTAAAAGTTCCGTTTTTGTGAATTTGGAATTTTATTTTATTCATAAGAGCACCAAGGAAGTACCATGATGCACAGAAGACTTGGACATGTGCTCCTTAAAAGTTACAACTATACTAATAACTAGCATACACACACACACATATATACTCTATTACATATACTATCCGGAGTATTATCAACGGTGGTCACATCCCAAAGTTACTTCTTCTTTTACCAGACTATTCCCAAGATTATATAGGGATCACTAAACAGATATCTTACCCAAACCTGTCAGAGAACGGCCTGACAGACCCAGCTGCCATTTGTAGGTTGGAAGAGGAAAACTAGGTTTGCATTTTGTAAGCGCCTTAAGTGATGCAGTTAGGGAACTATGATGGCATATCCTGATTTGTCCTGCAAAATTGTAGAGGTCGCGTTCACTTGTGTTGACCACCATAAGTAGGAAAATTGTCAGTTTGTTGATAACCCGTCTATATTCAATTTAAAAGTTTAAATTTTTAGAGATGGGACACGCTTATTGCTTTATTTTAGGTCTTCAACACCCCCCCTTATGTACGGGTTTAAATTGTTTTTTCTAGTACCAAGCACGTGAAATATTTTTGCTAATGGGTGACAATGAGACTTGATCCCAGGACTTTTGCCTAGATATCATGTTAAATTATGTGACCGTTTCATCTAAAAGTTTAATCTTTAGAGGGAACATCTTTGCTAGGTCTACAACCATCCAAATAGAAATGGACTTGAGACTTGACCGCAGCTGAGAATCCCTGTTATCTGAATTTTAGTTGGTTTATTTTTCTGTAGATTTGCATGTATGTGGCATGGTATTTAATCTCTAAATAAATCAAGGGTCTACATGTGTTCCTTGAAAACAACATTTAATTTTCTATGCGTTGTTGTCTGCGTGATGGTGTTATAGTGTTTATTTGCTATTGCTGCTGATTTGTAGTTTATTTGCTATTGCTGCTGATTTGTAGTTTATTTGCTATTGCTGCTGATCTGTTGGTCCGACAACAATCATTTTCTTGGCTGATTAGCAGCATCTTCTATTTTAAATGGCAGGTCCAGGTCAAAAAGATGTTGGTGTGGGCATATGTCAGTTGTTGGAAAAGAAAGAAGGTATCTTCCGCCAGAAAATGATGGGGAAGAGAGTCAATTTTGCCTGCCGATCAGTTATATCTCCGGATCCGTATTTATCTGTCAATGAAATTGGAGTTCCACCATATTTTGCTTTAAGACTAACCTATCCTGAGGTATTGATTAATGTACCAATTTTACTTATTTTAGAATTCCTGTGCTGTTTCTACTGTTCCCTATCTATCAAGAAAGTTAAAAAAACAAGAAATTCAACTTTCAACTTTCTGCTCACACCATATTAAATAGATTTAATCTCTTTTTTCTTTGTGTTTTTTTTTTTAAATTATTTGCAGTTCTCATCATATTCTGCGAAAGTTCTGAATTATCTTTTATATTATCATGCTCAGTTCTTTAACTAAAATGTATTCAAATTCCTTTTCTTGATGGTCTTGGCTAAATTAAAGAAAATATACCCAGTAGGCTTGCATCCTCTAACCCTGTGCAAAACTTTCTCAAGCTCTTACATGCACACTTTAATCTTGCTACCACAGTACGTGAAATCAAAACCAATGTTCCCGAGTGGCTCATATGAGGTTAAAGGCAGTTTGGTGGTACTGATATTTTTGGAGCAAAGGAGTAGAGGGCGGTAGAAGGACTAGTGTACATTAAGGCTATAAGATGAACTACATTTTTTACCTTATCAAAATATATAAATAAGATGAACTACATTTTTCTCTTAAACTAATACGGAACTAGAGAGTGTGTTATTTCCCTAAAACAATTGGAAACCAACTAAAGATTTTTTTTTTTTGATAAGACAAATGATATTATGAACAACTGGAAAATTCCCGTAACAAGAGGTATATCAAAAGGTACAGATTCTACAACAAAACATGATTCTCTATGAAAGAGACCCAATCATCTACACAAGTAGGGATCTCATGGGTGCACCAAAAAGCAATCAAAGACAAGGATATTGTCTGGGGATAGTGTTGGATCCTATACCAACAATATTTTCTTGTCAAACAGATTTGAATCTATTAAGATATTCTGTGCATCCTTGATTATGTGCCCTAGTTTAATTAAGATGCACTTGTAACAGGAAAGATAGCTACTAAAGCTGGTGTTATTAACTAAGAGATTAACTTTATTGTTACCTTTCTCCCAAAAAAAAAATTACGAAGAATTAACATTATTTGGCAGGACCAAGAAGAAGTCTTCGAAGGTCATGCTTGTATATCATAAATGAAAGGGGG